TTGGCTTCTTTCCGCTTGCTGATGGTTGATCGTAACGGTAAGTCATCTTCACAATAATAGTTTATGGATTTAGCCGTGAGGCTCTCTCAGAATACAAAGTAAGGGTGATCTTTAACTCGTGACACAGCTGAGCCCAAAATTTCCATCGCTAAGCAGGGGAGCTGTTAAGTCAGTTTTGCCCCATGATACGCCTGTTTTTCGCTACCGTTGTTAAGCGAATCACTGCAATTGTGATGTGAATCATATGGTTACACAAATCTGGCTTCCTCAGGACAGTGCAACTGTCATGAATACATTCCAGTTGCCTAATGTCCAAATTATGGTCCCATGACCCTGGGGATGCTGCCACAGTCATAAATCTGAAAACCAGTCATATGTCACTTTTTTTCAGTGCTGTTGTAACTTTGAAATGGTTGTTAAGCTGAGAACTATCTGTACAAGATGATAATAAGGCTGGGGAATTCTGGGAGTTCAAGTCCACACATATGAAAGTTGCCATGGTTGAATAATAATAATAATAATAATAATAATAATAATAATAATAATAATAATAATAATAATAATAATATCGCTGTACCAGGAGATGCCAGAGTCGAAGAAAAAGAACTGGAAAAAATTATGAAATATCGCAACCTGGCCATCGAAACTGCGCGATTATGGATGAAATGTGTAACAGTGGTACCCATTGTCATCGGGGCACTGGGAACTATGTCCAAAAACTTTGCAAAATACACCAAGAAACTGCAGCTGCCTGCAATAACTCCAGCAATGTTACAAAAAACTGCGCTACTCAGAACATCTTATATTTTAAGGAGGTACCTGGTTGACACCTAGGATGCTGGTAGCAACCCGTGTCAACCATCAGCGCCAGCCAATTTGAATGTTCAGTTGACTGAGGTTCATGTTTAATGAATACTAAAATAATAATAATAATAATAATAATAATAATAATAATAATAATGTTGGAAGGGACCTTGGAGGTCATCTAGTCCAACCCCCTGCTCAGGCAGGAACCCTATACCATTTCAGACAAATGGCTGTCCAGTCTCTTCTTAAAAACCTCCAGTGTTGGAGCATTCACCGCTTCTGGAGGCAGGATGTTCCACTGGTTAATTGTTCTAACTGTCAGGAAGTTTCTCCTTAGTTCTAGGTTGCTTCTCTCCTTGATTAGTTTCCACCCGTTGCTTCTTGTCCTGCCTTCAGGCGCTTTGGAGAATAGCTTGACTCCCTCTTCTTTGGGGCAGCCCCTCAGATACTGGAAGGCTGCTATCATGTCCCCCTTCGTCCTTCTCTTCATTAAACTAGACATCCCCAATTCCAGCAACCGTTCCTTATATGCTTTAGCCTCCAGTCCCCTGATCATCTTCGTTGCTCTTCTCTGCACTTTGCACAGAGTACAGTGTTTTGGATTCCCCCCCCCCTACAAATACCCCCTGCCCGAAGTTTCCATCATCAAACCCATGCAGATCTTGGTCCAATCTTCGCAACTGCCCAGACAGGTCCCTACAGTTTTCTCGGCAATTTTTTTAAAAGTGATTTGCTGTTGCCATTTTCCTCCTAGAGCTGAGGAGAGAGGGACTGGTCTAAAATCGGTCAGCTGGCATTTGTCCCTAAGTCAGAGCTGGAAATTTAGTTTGCTGCTTCTGGTTTAGCACCTTAAGATGTACACAGGCTCTTTGGATAGAAGCCTGGTAAAATGAATAAATAATACGGGCTATTCTAGCAGAGGAAATTCTGCTTTATAATACAGATCATTATAACTGATTTGTTTCCTTAAAGCGCATCTGCCACTTTGTATCACAATGATTTCTGGTGTGCATAAAAAAATTAAAAGAATTCAAAATAAAGTGGCTTTTTTGATCATTGTAACTCTGCTGTTCGGGCCAGGGAGTTGACTGAATTTTCAATGTTAGCGTATCTGTATATTGCAGTTATCTCATCTGCAGTGATTCCATAGTGTTTAATCTCCTTCATTCTTTCAATTTGTTGTTTGGATGACAGAAAACTTTTTTAAAAAAAATATTCTTAATCTTAGCATCTGCAAGGGCTTACTCACCTACCGTCTTGAATCTACTATGATGCAATCGTATTATCAGAATTTCGGCTAAATGGTTCCTAACTTACATACATGGGTCTCCAGTGGTCCGCAGGCAGATTGCAGGATGAATAATGCACAAATAAATGCTGCATGTCTCACATGCGATTTCATCGCAGCTCCATTATTATTCGCCACCATGCAGTTACGTGCCCAGTGACACTTAAGGGAACAAACATAATACATTTTTAACGGGAGCTGCATTTTTAATACTCTCTGAAATGTAACAATGAGTCCCAGCCTTCATAAACTGTTAAACATTTAAATCTGTTTGCTTGTCTGCTAGGCTACGAAACGTCCAGAGATGATGCAGTGGTCCACAGTTGCCCAGCACGTCCTTCCCCTAAGTCAGGGGTGGGGAACCATGGCCCTTTTATGACTTGTGGACTTCAATTCCCAGAATTCCTGAGCCGGCTGACTCAGGAATTCTGGGAGTTGAAGTCCACAAGTCATAAAAGGGCTATGGTTCCCCATCCCTGCCCTAAGTGTGTGCCTTGGATTGCAGTTCAGCACTAATAGACTTCTGTTCACTCATGTCCAATACTCGGGGCTGCCTAGGACAAAACTCACCTAGCAACTGTCTTGCTTAGCATTTAGGCTCAATTGTGGCCGTAAGTCAAGGTCTACCTGTACTCATTTTTCATGCCACACTAAATAAACCAATACAGTAGCAGGCCTACCTGAAAGGGAGATGGTGCAGAAAAGGAAACACATTAAACCATGAGCAAGTACTATGGCAGTGGTTCTCAACCTGTGGGTCGGGACCCCATTTGGGGTTGATCGACCATTTCATGGGGGTCGCCAAGCAAGGCTGTCCGCCATTTTTTTTGTCCGCCATTTTTTTTGTCCGCCATTTTTCCCCCCTTTGCCCAATTTTGGAACAGTGAAAATCTACCACCTGACCAGATTATAATCACGGAAATCTTAGAATGTGCAGAAATGGATAGACTTAGAGATTAAAGAGAAAGAAGATTCAGTTTATTTCAAAACATGGGAAAATTTGTATCAATGGTTAGCAGTACGATAGAACGAGAAAGGACAGTGAAGTTTAACAGGGTGAATGATATTTATTAACTAAGCTTTACTTTTATGTTAATTGTTATTATTAGTGATTATAACTGTTTAGTATTATATTAATTACTCTCATTTAATATTTGTACCCGGACGATCGTCTGCTTGCTAAAGCGTTGAATTTTTTGTTGGGGGTAACCCAACTATTGTACCTACCCTTACCCTTATCCCAACCCCATCCCCTAACCCAGGGGTAGGCAACCTTGGCTCTTTTATGACTGGTGGACTTCAACTCCCAGAATTCCTGAGCCAGCATGGCTCAGCTTGGAAACCTCTCCCTTTCCCCTCAGCATGGCTGGCTCAGGAATTCTGGGAGTTGAAGTCCACGAGTCATAAAAGGGCCAAGGTGGCCTACCCCTGCCCTAACCCCATCCAATATCCATACCGATCTTATCCCTTCCCTACCCTTATAAAACTCAATAAAACATTTATAAAAAAAGAAGAAGAAAGTGACTGGCCCAGGGTGACCCAGTTTCGTCCCTAAGGCAGAACTACAACTTGCATTCTCTTGGTTTCTAGCTCGGTGCCTTGTCTATTGCACCAGACTGGTTGTGTGTGCGCGCATGCACACGGGTTTTTTTTATTATTATTATTTCTTCTGTTCAATCTAATACTGCCTGGAGAAGTTGCTGCCATTTTCTTGGCAAGGTTTTCGAGACTGCCGTTGCCTTCGTCACTAGGGCTGAGAGAAAGAGATTGGCCCAAGGTCACCCAACTGGCTTCCTGCCTAAGGCAGGACAATTATGGTAATGCAGTTTTGTTCCACAAAAAATGGTCACAAAATCCCACACTTTTTCTCGCTCTGCAGACAGAAATGGCTAGGCGTCTGGTATTTCACTGGATAACCTAATGAATAGAATAGAAACTGTGTTGATTTAACCATTTGACCATATCAAAGGGCAACTTAATGATTGACAGTGAAGATTATATTGCTCTCCCCCTCCTGCTTTGGATATTGGTTTTAAATTTGGGGATTGTGCTGTTCCTGCTGCTGGTTTTTAGATCAGGGCTTTTCAACCAGTGGTACGGGTACCACCTGTAGTACATTGGCACCTGGCAGGTGGTACGCGACCATCCTAGAAAAGTGGTAGCGGGGGAGGGGAATGAGCTGAACCGGTGGCAGCACCTCACAAGCCTGAGCAAGAGACGGCTGGAGCTGCAGGGCTGTCAGGGCTCAGCGGAAGCGCCAGGATCAGTGCCAGGCTCTAGCTGGAGCTCAGCACTGATCCTGGCGCTTCTGCTGAGCCCTGAAGAAGCACCAATCAGCTGGAATGTTGCAGCATCTCCAGGGTCTTGTGATTTACATTCAGATGCTTGGCAACTGATTCATATTTATGACGGTCACAGTGTCCCAGGGTCATGTGAAGTGACCAAAACCTGCTGCAACCATCCAGCAGATGGGGGGAATAAAAACCTCACCCCACCCCCACTGCCAATCCGCAACAGAAATGCTCACAACAATGAAAACTCAGACAGGAGAAAGAGCGCCGCCGGGCGAGCAGGCAGGTGTCTTGCTCGTCTGTGGCTTGGGGGGCACTTTTTTCAGTGCCATTGTAACTTCGAACAGTCACTAAGCGAACTGTTGTAAGTCGAGGACTACCTGTACTTTATCTCTTTTTTTTTTATCATCAAGTTTTTCACACCTTGCTGGTGGTACTCGGATGTTGCCATATCCTAAAAGTGGTACAATGGGTGAAAAGGTTGAAAAGCCCTGTTTTAGATAACTTACTCCAAAGTCACTCTCATCTTTGGGTGCAGATAGTGGACAGGTTGGCTGTTATTTTTAATCCCATGCTTCTGCGTTTATAATTAATTTTGCCCTGGTTATTTTTAGTTAAAGGGTGTGATGACCAGCTGGGAAGATGAGTCGGGGACATCTGTGGCGGAGCAGATGGGGCCAAACTGCAACTTTGGCATGTCTCTTCCCAACTATTCAGAGGATACATTTACCTCCCTGAGTGAAGAAGAAGAAGAAGATGAGAAGCAGTATGAGGACGACCCATTTGAATCTTATGACTCAGTGGATGAGTTGGAAGAGCCGGCGGCCTCTGATCTGCCCAAGGGCGCTGGGCAATCCTCATGTCAAAAGGATGAAGGTCAGTTAGGATCCACAAGGATTTGGTTCAGCTCCTTCTGCAGGCTTACAACTGGGAAGGGGGGAGGGAGACTTAGGTCAGCAAAAATAGAAAAAAAAAGTACAAGGGGAGAAAGCTGCCAACTTCATGTTGCACAGCAGATTAAAACTTTTTTATTTTGCTAAGGCAGAACGTCACAGCAGTATTAAAGAAACATTAATTATATGTAAGTCACTGCTAATAATAAAATAGATTAAGAATTATTAAATAGATTGAATTAATTACACAACTTAAATAAAAATTGTTAATTAAAAATTAAACAGTATTAAAGAAATAAAGAAATATGTGTCGGGCAGCAGAAAGAAATGTCTGTTGTGTGTAGCATTTGGCACAATGGGGGCAATCAATTGGTAGAGCATCAGGGAGAACTGGGTAGATCTGTAAGAGCAGCAAGATCCTGGATGCCCCAAATTAAAATAGAATAGAGCTGGAAGGGACCTTGGAGGTCTTCTAGTCCAGCCCCCCGCTTAAGCAGGAGAACCGATAACAGCTCAGACAGGTGGATGTCTAGTCTCTTCTTAAAACTCTCCAGTGATGGGGCACCCACAATTTTTGGAGGCAAGCTGTTCCACTGGTTGATTGTCCTCACTGTCAGGAAGTTTCTTTTTAAATCCAGGTTGCTTCTCTCCTTGACCAGTTTCCAACCATTGTTTCTCGTCCTTCCCTCTGGTGCTTTGGTGAACAACCTGACCCCCTCTGCCTTGTGGCAGCCCCTCAGATACTGGGACACTGCTATGATGTCTCCCCTATTTCTTCTTTTCTTTAGACTAGCCAGACCCAAGTCCTGCGGCCGTTCTTCGTATGTTTTAGTCTCCAGGCCTTGATCATCTCAGTTGCTCTTCTCTGAATTTTTTCTAAACTCTCAACATCTTTTTTGAGATATGGTGACCAAAATGGGCTGTAGTATTCCAGGTGTGGTCTTACTAGGGCTTTGTAAAGCGGTACATGTAAATTCATAGGTGCTGGTCATTTTTAATGCTTTATGTTTTTTAAAAACGTTTTTAATTGTATAATCGGTGACAGCTATGGACAAGGGAAACTCTAGCTTTGGCCAACGATGACGGCAATCCAGGAGAAAATCCCAGATGGGGAGGAGAATCATAACAGGAGAAAATGACAACCCTTGCACTCTTGTCAGATTCTGTGCTTAGGCCAGTGATGGCGAACCTATGGCACGCGTGCCAGAGGCGGCACTCAGAGCCCTCTCTGTGGGCACGCGCACTGCCACTGCCAGCAGCTTGCGCACGTCCATTAGGCCACCGCCACCACCCGGAGCGGCAGCCCCACCCAGCACAAAAGAGACGAAGCGGCCAGCTAGCAAGCTCGAGTAGAGGTGGTAGAGCACGCCCACACCCAGCAAGCCAAAGGCCATCCTGAGCGGAGAAAGACGGATCCCCATCAGCACCATGGCCCCCCAGTCCCAGCTAGGATTGTGTGCCTCCCCCCCATCTATGCTGGGCCTCCTGCCTACCGCCCCATCCGCCAGAGACCCCCTGGATCTCCCCCAATCCTGTCCGGCCCTCACAGGCATCCCCCCCATGAGCAACATCGAGGTGGCCATGCCCACCCCAGCCACGTCCACCCAGTCTGATATGACAACCGCAGCTATGCCCACCCAGTGGGCCACGCCCACACCCCCCCCCCTGAGGGCACCACAATGCTGATGCAGCCCTGGCACTTTGTGATAAATAAGTGGGCGTTGGGTTGTGGTTTGGACACTCTGTCTCTAAAAGGTTCGCCATCACTGGCTTAGGCCGTTCCTTATCCAGGACTTGTCAGGCCTGAGCCCTCAAAACCACACAGTGAGATCCACTCTATTTGCTTACACCAGTAGTTCTCAACCTGTGGGTCGGGACCCCATTTGGGGTCGATCGACCATTTCATGGGGGTCGCCAAGCAAGGCTGTCCGCCATTTTTTTTGTCCACCATTTTTTTTGTCCGCCATTTTTTTCCCCTTTTCCGACGGGTGCCTCACGGGCTGGGCCAGCTGGTGGTCGGCCTGCTCCGTCTCTGCCGCTTGCCAGCTACGCCTCGGCCGGCGCAGGGGGCAGAACCACGCATGCGCGGCACTCCCGGGCAGGGAAAGTCCTCGACTTACGACCGGTTGGGTAGTCCTCGACTTACGACTGGTTTAGTCCTCGACTTACGACCGGTTTAGTCCTCGACTTACAACCGGTTGGGGTCGTGGCATTAAAAAGGTTGAGAACCACTGGCTTACACCCATTAGACAGAATCTTGCCGGACTAAAGCCATAAGCTTCTAATTTAAGAGATACACCAGGAGAGATTCTAGGGTGTGGGTACCCTAAACTTTTTTCTCCCGTCCCATCTGGTTCAGGACTAATGCAGTCTCTTATCCTGGGCCTCACTCTGGAAAGTGCTGCCCCCTCCCTGGGAGACTGCGGGGCTACTGTTGACGTCCCCCCTCTTCTCCTTCAACTGCCGGTTCCATCACAGCACTAAGAAAAGCTGGAAGGTTTTACACAATTTTGTTTCTACATATTCCTGCTTTTAGTTTTTCTTGTACAGCTCAACTCTTCCTACTAGAATGCTTGTGAATTAAACAGCTTCACATCTTTTATGGATGTGTGAGGCGTTTAGATGATACATCATGTATGGAGTTTTGCGTGTATGAATCCATTTGTTATTTGGTTGATCTCTGTTTTCCTTCCTTCCTTCCTTCCTTCCTTCCTTCCTTCCTTCCTTCCTTCCTTCCTTCCTTTTCCCCTTCAATCTCTCTCTCTCTCTCTCCTTCCTTCCTTCCTTCCTTCCTTCCTTTTCCCCTTCAATCTCTCTCTCCTTCCTTCCTTCCTTCCTTCCTTCCTTCCTTCCTCCCTCCCTCCCTCCCTGTTAGAATTTTTAGATTCTGCATTCATAGGAGAGTCTTTAACTAGAAAATGGATCAATCTTCTGAAAGGCAACAGAACTATCACCGAGAGAGCCAAACCTTCCATGGAACCAGATACTGGTAAGTTGATTTTCAGGTCTGAAGCTTCTTAGCTGGTAACACTCATTATAACGGTGATACCTATTGAGTGCCATTAGACACAGTGTGGTGATACGGTAATGTCAGAATTTGGGGCATTCCCCCATTTTTCAGGCTTTTTAATAATAATAATAATAATAATAATAATAATAATAATAATAATAATAATAATAATAATAATAATAATAATAAAGATACGATAAACCTGACAAAGCTCAATTCAATTGTGGAAGCCAGAAGTCATTTCCCTCAGAGTGCTTTTTTTTTTTTTTTTTGCCTACCTGTGGTCATTTTGTTTTTCTGTTTAGCTAAGGAAGTGTCTCTGAAATGATGACCCAACCAGGCGCAGATTTTCTAGTATTTGAACAAAATGCCCATGGCTTAGCATTAGCACTGTTGGTGTTACTAGAAAACAAAAATTGCTAGCTGCATTTGGAATAGGTCCAGTTGCCCAGAACAACCTCCAAAGATAAGCTTGAGAAATCTGTGACCTGATAGCTTATGGAGGAGGCAGAAAACAGTTCCTTAGTTTAGATCAGGGGTAGTCAACCTTGGCTCTTTTATGACTCGTGAACTTCAACTCCCAGAATTCCTGAGCCAGCTGTGCTGGCTCAGGAATTCTGGGAGTTGAAGTCCACGAGTCATAAAAGAGCCAAGGTTGACTACCCCTGGTTTAGACATTTGGGGGCCTGGCTGAGGAATTCTGGGAGTTGAAGTCCACAAGCCAAGTTGGAAGACCCCTGCCCTAAATGGTAATTCAGCCCTGATGTGACAAGAATGGCAGCTCAGCAATTAATGCAAAATATAATGATTAGGTTATTAATTGGAATTGTAACACCACCTTCCTAAGGTTAGGATTAATTCCCTTCTTATCATCCATTCTCCCACAAATGGTTTCTATTTCTAAAATGTTTTCCAAGAGGTAGATAAAAGGAACTCTTTTTTTTTTTAAAAAAAGTTTTAGTCTGGTTTCCTAAATCCATAGCATACATTCTCTGTGAGATTATTACATTTAAGTCAGCCAGCGTGTTCTTAATCTCACCAGTCACAGCTTAAGATGTACTTCTCTAGGCAGAACAATGCAGCAATTGCTTTGATGTGCCAAAGTCTAAAAATGTACAGTATCTGTTGCTCGCTGGAGACCTCAGCTGTGGGAGCCTTTTACAATTTGCTTTCTCTCCTTGAAAGAAGTAGGAAGAACAGCTTAATTGTTTAAGTGTATAATTGCAGATTAGCTGCAGGACAATTACGACCTACTCAGTAAGATTAAGAAAAAGTCTAAATTTATCTGCTTTGAAGTATTGCTCCTCAGGTAAATGCTATAAAGAATGAATTAAAATGCAAGCTTACATTAACAAAAGGGTGGTTTTTTTTGCTCAGCTTTTTCCTTATTGAGTTTTTATCCTGATAAGTTGTGTAACCCCCATTAAAAAAAACCAAACTCTTGGTAAAGCCACACTTGGAATACTGCATCCAGTTTTGGTCACCACGATGTAAAAAAGACGCTGAGAATCTAGAAAGAGTACAGAGAAGAGCAACAAAGACGATCAGGGGACTGCAGGCTAAAACATATAAGGAACGGTTGCAGAAATTGGGTATGTCTAGTTTAACGAAGAGAAGGACGAGGGGGGACATGATAGCAGTATTCCAGTATCTCAGGGGCTGCCACAAAGAAGAGGGAGTCAAGCTATTGTCCAAAGCACTTGAAGGCAGGACAAGAAGCAACAGATGGAAACTAATCAAGGAGAGAAGCAACCTAGAACTAAGGAGAAACTTCCTGACAGTTAGAACAATTAACCAGTGGAACAACCTGCCTCCAGAACCGGTGAATGCTCCAACACTGGAAGTTCTTAAGAAGAGACTGGACAGCCATTTGTCCGAAATGGTATAGGGCAGAGATGGCGAACCTTTTAAAGACTGAGTGCCCAAATTGCAACTCAAAACCCACGTATGCATCGTGGAGTGCCGGGGTAGGTGTGGCCCATTGGCTGGGCGTGGCCCATTATGTGGGCGTGGCTGCAGTGGTAACGGCAGACTGGGTGGGACTAAAAAGTTCAATCAATCAATTCCAACTTTGCAAGATCTTTTTTTTCCCGCGAGAAGTTGCAATTGACTGATTGAACTTTTTTTTTTTTTTTTTTTTT